AGAAGTGTGCTGTGCTTACGTTTGTCAAAGGTAGAAAATCATATTCTAAACGTGCAACAGTGGTCACCATTATTCTTTGTCTAACCTTTACCCATTTGTTTCAACGATACTTCAGGACAAGTGTTTGGGAGAGGGCAAGTAACGATCAGATTTGGTACAGCTTCCAGGTCTCAAGGTAACCACAGTTCTTAAGTTAGGCATGCATATATTAGGCAGACAGGCCCGTTTGGTACTATCAGGCCGATAGATCCTGTCCTGGCGACCGAAAAACCTGCTTGGAGATTAAACCAACCACTTAGTAGAAATTGACATGCTATTTAGTACCCTTACCCACCCCTGTAATACACAAACGGAAAATTGTCGACATTTTACAAACTCGTGTCTTGTTTGTGGTTTAGATATAATAACTTTATTGCGCAACAGTTGTACAGTGTACAAAGTATGGCATCTATTAACTTAAGCATGCTGCAGCCGTGCCTAGCATCATTCGAGCTCTAGTCAGATGCAAGCCTTGCACTAGGGGCCCATGCTAAAGTTATATAACAGGCACATTGATTTGCACGCATTTCCCTTACTCAAAAGCTGAAGAGGCGTTATAAACGCCGTCCATATATAGCCCGATGCGCGCAAAGCCAGCTGTCAGAATCAGGAACGATCGATGTGTGAATATGAGGCTGTGGTGCTCGAAATACCACCTGCATATGGAGGTATTTCTGATGTCTACCTGCACCTAACCTGCACTGGTCCATGTACTGGGTATATGCAGGTTAGTGCAGGTAAAATTGGAGCTGTGCAGGTATTTCTGATGTCTACCTGCACCTAACCTGTACTGCTCCATGTACTGGGCATATGCAGGTATTTCTAACTCAGTGTCTACCTGCACCTAACCTGCACTGGTCCATGTACTGGGTATATGCAGGTATTTCTAACTCAGTGTCTACCTGCACCTAACCTGCACTGGTCCATGTACTGGGTATATGCAGGTATTTCTAACTCAGTGTCTACCTGCACCTAACCTGCACTGGCCCATGTACTGGGTATATATATGCAGGTTAGAGCAGGTAAAATTGAAGCTGTGCAGGTTTTTATGATGTCTGACTGCACCTAATCTCCATTGAAGACGACAGAGAACGTAAAATAAAAGAAGGTCTTACTAGGTGTTACATCAGATTTTTTCATATCATTTGAACTTTTCATATCATTTGAACTTTTTGAACATTTGAAAAGATCCGCTTGCACAAAGAAGTGCAGATAAAACTTATCTGGTTCAGTTACCTGCACCAAGGCAGGTAAGCAGACAAATATTATTTCGATCCCTGTGTTGTACAGAGCTGCGTTCATCACACCTGGCCGGACTTCCTGGAAAAAATCCTCGCTCTTCCCATTAAAGGATTCCAGGAAACAAAGTCTCTGCTGGATATGATCCTCTCTTACACTCTACGGAGGTAATGAAGCGACGTTAGGAAGTCCCAGCGCACAAAGTACTTATAAGAACATCCATCTGTAAGACACTGGTGGAATAAACCCCTGGTGTAAGTAATGCAAGTACTGCCAGTGTTAAAATGGATATTTGCTTTCAGATGGAATACATTGTAATGAAAACGTCTGAATTTGTGCATGTGACGGACTATTGTAAGCCAGTTGGCCAATAATGGCGTGGTGTTGGATAACATTATGTGGCAAGTGACAGAATAGATTTGGAAGTGCTGAATGAATGTGTTTGATCAGGAATAAACAGAGTTTGTTAGGCTAGGCCATTTATCAAGTGACAACCCAACAACCCAAACAAGACCAAGTACCAGATAGAAGTAGTATGCCACAAGAAAAACATTATATAAGAGCTAAAATAGCCTTCTAGAAGGCTGGAGTCTTATGGTGCGTTACACCATCTGCCCTTCCTTCCCCAGACTCTGAATCTGAGACATCAGCACGCTCACCAAAAGTAATTCCCAAGCAGATCATACGGTGGCAAGGCAGTGTGCATCGGCCAGAGAGGTGTCCAGTGAGTAACGACCACTCCTCTGGCCAATGTATACTGCCTTGTCACCGTATGATCTGCTTGGAAATTAACCAAAAGATCAGCTTAGAGGTTGCTTCCATCTAGACCCTGAGACATCAGCACGCTCAGTGAGGCGTGTCATAGGAATGGCTCCCATCACCACTAATGTGCTACCCTGACTTCAGCTGGTCATCTGGGCATCTCTCCCATGTCATCATTACCCGGCTTCCATTATCTCCCTCCTAATTATGCCTCGTTCGGGTAATTACACTTGTTTTAATTACATCCTGACACTTCAGGGTCAATCACCTCTTCCTTTCTCGTAAAGCACGAGCGAACCGGTTTCGAGCTCGGGTTCAAATGACAAGACTGAACCTGATTTAGGATCCTGATTGTGGAGTACGTGTAAAGTTATGTACAAACTTTTTACATTGTATAATTAGGCTGCAATGTTGTTTTAGTTTTATGTCATTTTGCGAATGAACCATTTATATATATATATATATATATGTGTGTGTGTGTGTGTGTGTGTGTGTGTGTGTGTGTGTTTTGGAATCCAGAAAGATGACTGCCTTTGCAGTCGCTTTTGCAACTTATGGATATCCTAATAGTCAAGTATCAAGGACATCCCAGGACTAGAAAATTCTCTTAACCACTTCTCGTTAGAGAAAAATGTTGACTTTAACAAAATAGCTTTCCAGTTTGCTTCCAGTTTGCTTCATAATTGTTTGTGTTATTAGGGCTCTAAATACTATCTACATGTCCAGGTTAGTGCAGGTGAAATTGGAGCTGTGCGGATATTTCTGATGTGTACAACCGGGTTTAAATGTATTTATACTGCAGTATCTTCATGAATCGCCAGATGGCTTCACTAAGGCAATAGGAACAAAACATGTCTATATTTTCTCCGTCAAAAACACATAGTACAAAGTTTTGTTTCTTTTGTTGGTTGTACTTGATGCTATAAGCCTTGTAGACCTTTCACTGTTATCTTCTTAACATTGGAGATCTCTAACTGTAAACCACTAGTCAGGGATATTATAGTATATATAACACAGTGCGTTTTGTATTTTCTGACCACAGATCAGAACTTGTACAGAACATTGTCTTCTATAACTCGATATTAAAAGATGGTAATTATAATATAACAAAATACAGAAATAGTTGTTATCATACAGAGTCATTTCATTTGCACTGTTACTGTGCAGAGTCATTATTTCACTTGCTCTGTTATCATCAATTATTAGTCAGTATTAATCATTAGTTTTATTTTGTATGTATCTTTTCATCATGTCTTGTTTTGACCCGTACTTAGCCCAGTGTGGCAAAAATGTGCAATAAAGGTCGTCATTCATTCATTAATGTAGTCATTTGCATTCACTGTACAGTTACTATTTATGCAAAGTCACATCACAGGTACTATACAAGTATTTTACATGCACTGCTGATACACAGCAATTTCACCTGCAGTTACTATTATAATACCAAGGATAACATAAAACTGAATCGTGTAACCACACTGGTACTATACAGACTCATTGCCAAAATACTATTGTTACTACACAGGATCATTCACTGGCACTGTTACTACTTATACAGAGTCACCTCACTTGTACTGTTACTATACAATCATTTTACTTGTACTACTACTTTACAGCCATTTCAGTTACTGTATGAGATATTTTACTTGGGAAATATATATCCACGGGTGCACTCTTCTACACAGTATATAGTCTTGCAATTAGAGACCACCACAAGCTGTTCTTCCCTTCCGATGGAGACTTGGTAAGGACACGTAATGTTAGCGATAGTTCGGATGTAGGTTCCGTTCTCATTCAGCATCACGACCTGGTTGGTTTTAAATCCAGCCACGATGATGCGACCCAAACTTTCCGTACAGATGTCTCTAGGTTGCCCCATGTGCAGGAAAGCCAAACTTTCAAACCTGGTGAGGTAACGACCGTGCATATCGTACTTGTAGATGAAAACACGACCTTTTCCGTTGCCTACAACGAAGATGTCACCTTCTTGACCAACCGCAACGGACGATGGAAGAAGCATTCCTTCGGATGTCCGGACTAGGGAGCCGTTCGTGCGATAGACACATAACGCACGACCTCGAACAAAAGCTTTTATCGCCACGATGTTGTCGGTTACAGTGTGCGCGGCAATCCCGCTGTAGTACTCTTGAATATTTCCTAATGGCAGCTCAAACCTAGCGAAGGCCTCCCCGTACTTGCTAAACTGTTGAACAGTGTAGGAACGCTGTCTTTTTGCGACGCGAAGCATCAAAACCCAGAGAGAACCGTTACGGTCCATGGACAAGTCCTGCGGCGTAGTGATGACAATCTTGTCTACTCGGGTGGAGAACTCGCGAAGGAAAACTCCCTGCATGTTGAGCACGTTGATTAAGTCGTTGTCAGAGTCCAACAAAAATATCTCGTTACTAGCTCGGGACACGAACATTCGTCCGGTGGCGTTGTTTGGGCCTCCGAACGAGATCATCCCTTCTTTAGCCCACTCTGTTTTCTTTCCTGAAGATAGGGTAAAACATGTTGCGTCAACTGGCTGGGAAAAGTACATTGTTTGAGTGAGTTCATGGGAATGTATAATGCACAATTGTTTGTATGTGCATACGTAAATGAGTACTAGTATAATGGCGTATTTTGTATGTGTGATTGTAGATGCCCGCGCGCGCGCGCCTGTGTGTGTTTCAGATACATGCTAAATGATAGTCAAACCTACCATCGTCAGTGTTGCTGTTGAATATGGCGGTGTTGGGTCTAGCACTAGCAGTGCTGTTGAATATGGTGGGGTTGGAGCTAGCGCTAGCAGTGCTGTTGAATACATTATACATAGCGAGGTTGGTGCTAGCGCCAGCAGTGCTGCCAATTCCGGCAGTCTCTGTCATGTTGACTGTAGTCCAGTTGTCGGTCCCTTGCGTAGGATTAGGCTGAAGAACGACGCAAAAACAGTTTCTTATGAGTCTATACTCGCGTTTTTAATCGGGGGATAGCTAAAGAAAAAAAGGAAGCAAAACTAGACATGAGAAACAAGAACTATTTTCTTTTTTTTTAGTTTATACTCCCACTCCTCATCCTGTTCAAGACTGACGCACCTAAGTGAAATCATCAGAAACGTACTAAGAAATTGGCTCAAGTAGCTCAAAGAACGACACTAATAACAGTAAATTAATCTCCAAGCAGATTCTGTGGGACAAGGGGAACTACATTGGCCTCCTGTAACCCTTAGCCAGTGGTTATAGCAGGCTAATATAGACTCCGATTGTCCCCGCAGAATCTGCTTGGAGATTAACAGTAAATAACAGATGACACCTTACCGTTTGGATGCTGTGGTCCTGTGTGTTGAGTTGCACCGCGAGAACGGCTGCGATGGTCGCTCCTACCAGGACTACAGCGGCAACGAGGCAGAAGACCCGCCAGAAAGTACAAGACCCTGTACATGAAACAGCCAAACCTTCAAATCATTCAGTGAATGAGAAAAAAAATCATCAGTGGAACAAAAACAAGCCATTGGAGATTTCAAACCTCCAAGAAGTATCTTGAGTTTTTCCCTGAGGTAAATCTACGTTCTTGGATACACCGCAACTAACCACAACTTGCCTGAGCCCATTCCTTAACCATTCAAGCATTGAACTAGATCGGCACGGTTCTTGACAAGATACTTACCATTTGTTTCCCGTTGACCAGCGTTTGGGACGTACATCGGATTTGCTAGAAGATTATCCGGCGAATGCCGATGCTTATGTGCATCATCAGCGTTGGTCTTACGTCTGTTTTCGGCATTCAGTGGATCATTGTTATCGGCAGTAACCCTAGTGACTTCTGAGGGGCGATTTTCGACAGGCGTATTGCCAGGTGACTCGACGAAAGGATCGCCAGACATGCCTGAAACAGTTTTTGGACTCGGGACAGGTCCTGGTACTCCAGAAGATGCTTCGCTGTACATGAGATTCGTTTCCATGTACGTAACAGCGTACGGTTCCATGTCGTCAAGAAAACTGTTCTCGTCTTGAGCTTGCTGTTCATACGTGTCAGGAGTTATCTTGTCTTGGGCGCTCAAAGCAGTGTCTTGGGGCCTGACTTCAGAATCCATGTGTTGATTAGCTGTATCTATGTGAGACACAGGCTCTTCAAGTGTGCCACGCGATTGCATTTCATCCTGTGGTAAACTCGAAGACCCAGAGGTTGGATTGTTTCCATTGTACAGGGCATTTATGGTGCTCAAAAAGTCTGGATCTCTATCGTTTGCTGAAGAAGTAGGATTGGGATTTTCATTCTGCCGAAAACATGAAGACTCTGTGCCTGAGCCTTGGTTGTTTCCAGCGTAAAGGACATTTAACTCTTTTGAACTTAAAACGCTTGCTGACCAGTCTAAATCTCCATGGCTCACTGAATATGTAGGGTTGGGATTTTCATCACTTGGGAAACTTGAAGACCATGTGTTTGAGCTAGGGTCGTTTCCCTCATACAGGACACTTAGTTCTTCGGTTCTTAAAACGCTCGTCGACCAGTCTGGATCTTCATGGCTTGCTGAAGATGTAGGGTTGGGATTTTCATTCGGTGAAAAACTTGAAGACCCTGTATTTGTCTGGTCGTTTCTCTTGTACAGTTCACTCAATTCTATGGAATTTAGAATGTTTGTCGACGATTCTGGATGTCCATGACTGGCTGAATCTGTAGGGTTGGAATATTCAAGGACAGGTCTGGCCGCAGGCTCTAGGTTTGCAGCGTCTGTTGAATAAACCAAAACTAGAAAGAACTGATTCATATAGAAAATTCCTTGGAATAATAAATAAATGTGGCATCAAATTAAAATAAAATCAAATCCTTACTCAGTAAGAATCTGGCGGGCAACACACGAAAATGTCGTCCAAAAACAATGACTAGTTGCACGCCACATAACATAGTTTAACTCACTGTAAAACATGTACAAAACCATTACATGTTGATACTGTGTGATCACCGTAGGATCTGCTTGGAGATTAATGTTAGTTATCCATCCTGTCCTTCATGTGACTTACCTGCACCAGAAAACGCTTCCTCCTTTGACTTTGCAGACATCATCATACCAGCAGCAGGCTGGCTACTCTTGGAACTGGTAAGAAAAAAAATTCTGCTGCTAAACCTAAAGTATTGTGGTGAGAAAAACAACCTGTAGACTAATCAGGGGGATCAAACAATGCTTACGCTATTCGCAAGAAACATTACATTATTGATCAGTTTTATGTACATGTTATATAATGTTCTACTCGGTTCCTACTTATGTTATTTTGTTCTTTTCAAAATAAATTCCACATAAAAACAACTTGGCATTCACACAGGATATTTTACACACATATATGTAGAGCAACAAAATTGAAATTGATACGTAGAATCAGGATACAATGTAGTATAGAAAACAAGGCAACATTTCACTTAACGTCGTCTGGCTGTTATGGAATCCTGCGGCGTAGAATCACGGGGTTCGGAGTTCGAATCCCAATCTTGACGCTCTGCACTCCAGTTCTCTCAGGACTTGCTGGACTCAACGAAGCTTTGCTTTGTCGAAAGAGATCCACATCTTCAGCAGATTAAAAAAACAACTGCGCGTTGTTTGATCAGGTTTAAAATACGGGATGGTTGGTCTACCATTCAGCGTTGGTGTATTTTACTGAGCTAATAAAATACACAACGGCAAAGATACCGTCCTATGAAAGCGCTTGCGTTGTTTAGCAGGATCGACTTGGAGTAAAATACACAAAGAGAAAAACAGCCTCAAGCTGATTCCTAGACTGATTGGAAAATGAAGCCCTGACGTGGCACAGAGCAATAAATTTGTATAATTGAAAACCTTGCTTCATTCACATTAACTAGGCACCAGGTGACTTAGAGGCATCCAATCAAACTTCAGGGCGTTGATACTCGTACACACACACACGTACAGAAAATATTTGTATCTGTATAGCCGGTATAACCGCCCTTCAGCGTAACATACGGTCACACCATTTTGGATGAGGGATCTGTCTAATATTGACATTTACCGCACCTTTTCGTCATCATTTCATATTTGAAGCCTTAAAAAAAGCTACCTGAGGAATCCTTTTTTGTGCCACCAATAAATAGCTAGAAGCAGCCTACGATACAAAGCAAGCAACAGTTATCCGTCAGCGACATGGCTTTTTTTCCCCACAGATAATAGTATATTATGGAGTATTGGTTGTTTAACATAGTAAAGTAAAAGAAGTGCGGTAAACTTGAAGGTCCAGAAATGTGGTCGCGTGCCAGAAGTAATCATAGGATCATGGGTGAATATGTGGATTGATGACGTCTTTATTTCGTCATATGTGAGTCAGACATTTTGTACTTGCGACTTACAAGCCATCGACATATGGCAAAGATCTACGCATTCCGGTACACAGAACGATACTTTCCTTATGTTATTATATTGTTGTGTCCAACTCCCATATAGACCTACGTAGGCCAATTTCTGCATACTTCATTCCTTAGAAAAGATCAAGTCATCCATGCATGAGCATATTTTAACTCATACATTGTAATCGATTGTATTTTGTAGTAATAATTGTAAGATGGTTTAGTTTTGTAGTATTGTTTTCTTACTGCCACACATTATACCATGTACAATTGTCCAGCAATAAAGTTCATTCATTCATTCGTCAAATCTGCCGCCGGCCTATAGTTCTTTCTTCTGGTCTTCTTGCTCCTGCAGTTCCGCCGACTCCCGCAAGGAGTCCACTATAGTCCTGGCCTCGTGACGAATCCGCTCGTCGTGTTGTTTGTCCAGTGTGTACCACATGGCCAGGGCACACCGCCGCCCCTGGAGTACCTACAGGCAGAGTTGTGTCATTAGAATGAGCCATTCTGTTTAACACAGTACCATGACACAGTGCAGTACATATCGCACTGTAATAATTGTTGATAACACTTATACAAGCACTACCTCGGTAAATATGTATATACATGTACAAGAAAACTTACCCATATTAGTCACCCTATTATTGAAAAAATGTAATTCTGACAATTTGTATATAACTGTATAATCCAATGCATGTATATATTATTGTAAATATGGACCGTGTATAGCAATTGTATTTGCTTGTATACCTAACGATATTTTTTTCTACAGGCAACGGGAATGGCTTTGTTTGCTTGTTTGTGTGTTTGTTTTATTTATGGGTGCCGCCCAATGCGTCACTTGATGCGGGAGTTAAGGAACTTTGACCTAAACCAGTCGACCAGTAAACCATATGTGGGGTCGTGTGGCGTAGCGGCAGCGTTCTCGACTTGGAAGCAGAGGCCCCGGGTTCATCCCCTGACATGCCACCGATCTTGTGCCCTTGGGAAAGGCACTTTACACGACTTTCCTCACTTCGCTCAGGTGTAAATGAGTATTGTACTGTCCCTGTGTTTGTGGCGACATTAATATAAGTTATATATAATATAAGTAATAAAAAAACTTGAGTGTGCCGTCACCACGTCTTGTGATTGCATGTTTCGGAATATATATATATACATATATATAAAACCAGTCGTAATTACCGCCTGCACGCCATGCGGGTTCTCTGGCCCTGAGGAAAACGCCACCAGCCGGCCGCACCTCGGCTGCACGGTCGCCTCGGCAGTCAGGTTTCTGTCAGAGAAGAAAAACTTTCCTCCTTTGAACTCGTCATTCAGAAACAGGATGGAACTGGAAATAAAAGAGAAATACAAAAAAGAAACTCTTTTAAAATAACGTGCCCATATATGTATCGTTTTCTAAATCAAGAATAGTCTAGTCTAACAAGCTACTGCTCTGTTTATGGAATTTATTACCCAAACGCATCCATATACTAGTATATGGTGACCAGCCCCTCCAGCTCTTTCCTGCTACATGATGTAACGCAACACCACAGGGTGTCTGCTGCAGCACCAGGTACCATGGTGGCAGACGTCTAGTCCAGGTCATTAATTGGCGATATGAGTTTGGAGAAGAAGAAACAGCACGAAAACAATATGTTTTTCTTCTGCACCTACTACTAATGACCTAACGCCATGTAATTCTAAGCTATACCTATAATCTTGAGTGTGGTGTCACCATGTCTTGCAATAAATGTTGGAATAGAAAAAAAATACCTATAGTCCCTCTTGTGAAGGGGCCCGGAATGAGGGGGGTACGGTTTGCAGGTCCAGTCTGTGAAATTCAGCTCACAGCTGTCTGCGTGGATCTTATGGCTCAGATCCTTCCTGTCGTCTGTAGAGTCTATATGATTATAAACATGCATCAAAACCCGTGCACAAAATCCATTATCAAATCTAGCAGTATCAAGCATATATATTTTCACTATTGAAGGGAGATCTTGAGCTTGTTTTCATTTAATTTGTTTCTTGCAACTCTGTCCCAACTTCGGGTTTTCTCAACAGACACACTCCCTTGACGTGCTTATTTCTCTATTTGGCCGATTTCTACTCTTTCCAGCCGCCTCCCGAAGCCTGGTAGAGTCTACTAACATGGTGGCAGTGGTGGGATTCGTACCTTACAGTATCAACTCTGCGCTTCATGTGCTTCATAGCTTGAGGAGTTTAAGAAGAGTGGAGCCGGTTAGTTCCCATTTAGAACTTTAGTTCAGCCTGGTTTTGCCTCGTGGGTTTCTTCAAGTGTGACAGGCTGAGCGAATAAAAGTTCCAAACGGAAACTATGCGGCTCCAGATGTCCTAATGGAGACGACTGCGTCTGCAAGATGTCGGTTAGCTTGAGGAATGAATCCACTCTGATATAGCTTCGAAAGGCGCACTCACAAGGCTCGGCCGTCCTGCAGACGAGATGCGTGAACTGGATGTACAGCTCCTGTTCCAGGCCGAAGTACGCATGCGTGAACTGCCGCGCCTTTTCGCTCAGAGTCAGGAACTTGTCGGCAGAGTCAACCGGAACGACCCCCTGCTGGGCCAGCTGAAAAACACATATTTGTGTTTACCTTCGCAAAAGGAAAACATATTGTTTTTGTCTGTTTCCTCTTCTTCTTCTCCAAACAAATAAGGTCAATGACCTGAACCAGACCTCTGTCACCATGGTAACTGGTGTTGGGTTACATCATGTTGCAATTTTATAGCAGCAGGGATCTACAAGTAGACTCCTGTCACCATATGTATGAATATGTTTCAGTAAGAATTACAGAGCAGACCATATGCGAAGGTGAACATTACGCATTTGCTTTCCTTCCCAATATTGTTTTTGCTCTGTTTCTTCTTCCTCTCTAAACAAATAAGGTCAATGACCTGAAGCAGACCATGGTAACCAGTGTTTGATTACATCATGTTGCACTTTTATAGCAGGAGGGATTTTGTTTGAGCAGGACAGTACTTAGTTTGTTAGGCTAGACCATGTGAAGGTAAATATCATGCATTTGCTTTGCAATGTTACTTTTCTAGTATTAAAGAGCATCATATATTAAACCCACCTGGGCTGCCTCATTAGCCTCCATGCCATGAACGGCCTCGAAGTCGGAGAATATATGGATTCCTTGGAAATATGCGTTTGCCCCAACCTATGGGAACACTTTAGTTTTGTGATAAGTACTAGTATAAGCTACGTCACAGTTCTGAGTATGCATGTGTAATGTGATTTGACCCATGAACTATTTTTATTTATTTATTTGTTTTAGGACATCACTGGCCCATAGTTAGACAGTACAGGCAAAATGCATACAAAACAGGCGAAAATCAAATCCTATATATACAGACATTTTCAGAGGTTTGTGAAGTATGAGTTGCGATAGAGTTTTTTTTTTACTTTATTGGCACAATCTAGGAGGTGATCAGATGTTATTTCAAAGAGTCTAGGACAGAAAGCTTGCAGGCTGAAAGCTTTTTGTGAAAAAACCTAAGTGGATATATCCCTAGTAATAATCTCAGTGTACTCATGTTCTCCTAGTATGTTTGGAATTTGCCCTTTAAGAGGTCAATATGCGGTAACAAAGTTTCCCCGTTCCTACTACTCAGGAAATAGCATTCAAATACCTACGAAAACACAAGCAAACACACAGAAAAACACACCCTAAACAATACCTCAGATGTAAGTACTTGCCTGAAACAAGTCGAGCAGCATGTCACACTCCTCCTGTGTAGCCAGCCCGTCAGCAAGGACTCTCTTCTCCCCTTTCAGACCCTCCGGTCCCATGGTAACCGTGACGCCTGGCATGACGTCACTTGACGTGTCTGAGACTACATATACCACTCACGATCATACAGATTTTCCTCCCCTTTATGTCTCAACGTAAGATTTCAGATTTTTTACAAGCACTCAAAAGTTCATTTCCTACCATTTTTTTTTCATACAATTGTTCCAATCTCACGCATTTGTTTTTACTTGGGAGCGGAATGTGGCTTACATATTTACAGTCAGGCCATATGCAACTCTTACGTACTGTACAAAACTGGTACGTTACGCCTAAAGGTGGTTTATCCGTTATTCAAAACAAACAAGAAAGAAGTACCCCCTCCCCACCCTGTAGATCCTTATTTCGTACAGTGTGCAAATGGATAAGATATTACAGAGATCTTAGAAACTTTCGTTTCAACGATAGTTAAACCCCTTACATTGATGTTCTTATATATCTTTTATTTAGTATGAAAATACATTATGTATGAAAAGTCATTATATCTAGAAGACTTTAGTACAACAACTGTGCCTTTGTTGTGTCAATAAAGAACTGTAGTAATAGAGTAAAATTGTTAACTGTACCTGTAACCATAGCTGAGATCATCAGTACAGTTAGTACAACCAACATAATGCAGCGGAAAGACATCTTCATTTTCTGCACATAAAATGTAAACAAGTATCGTCATTTACATTCATTTGTATTGAGCCTAAGGCTAATATATGCACGGTTGGCAAGATCGAAATACACAACAAAATAGAAAATAATGGAAAGAAAGAACGAGGTGAATCTGGTGGTTTGGTTTTATATAACAACTCCGATTTGTGTACAAGTATGCTGTTGTATGTTTACTGCACTCTCTTTTCAACATTACGAGTACGTAGAACTATGAAAGCATGGCAGAAAAATGGGCAGCTTAAAAATATATATATATACCTATACTCTTGTTTGTGTTAACCTGCTATTTATATATATCATTGAAACATCTATTCATCCGCAAGACTCCTAAGTCCTTGTCGTCAGTAGAAATGGCATGAGTAAATCATACACTTACCAAACTGCCAGCTGTATGTACTGGAAAAGTATTCGTGGATCCAATTGTTTGCCAACCAAAACGCTCAGATACGGATCTGTAGTTAGTACGTGGCGGGGGCAAACTGGATCGATGGAAATTGAAAAATCTTGTGGATGCATCCTGGTACTCTCCAAGCAGAGGTTTGGGTTATTTTGGGCGTGTGTTTAGGCTTTTTCATCACGGTTTCTCTTTTGCACTGGAATTTTTTTCACCCAATTTTTTATTTTGGTTGGGTGAAAAAAAAATCCAATGCAAAAGAGAAACCCTGTTCAATTTAGTTTATTCGTACAGAACAAGTGTCGTACCTATGGTCTTTCGTAGTTATAGCATGGTAATAAATATACGAGTAGGAAAACGACGACACTCGAGAAAACGACAAAATCGAGGCTCGTTGTGTAGACTTTTAGGCGGCAAGGTTAAATTTTCTCCCTTCTGTGGTTTGGTCTACACCGTTTGGCTCTTCATGCGACCAATTTTGTACAAAATGGTACAAAATGTACAAAATGTAACACGTACTACAACATATCAAAACTTGCACTTTTGGTACTCCCCGCAAGAGGCGCTCTTGGGTAATGCACCACAAGCGTTCTCTAGCGGAAGTAAGGCGTATTGCAGCTATCGAGTGGGCGGAACTGTGAGTAAGTCGATCATAAAAATGTTTTGGAACTTTTCCAAATCGTCTGAATAACTGTAAGATGCTGTAAATTTCAGAGACACATATAAGACTTTGGCTTTTAATCGTGAGTTTTATTACGCTATAGTCGAATTAGTGGCAAAGGCAGGGTTAAAATTGATTGAATTCGACATTTCGAGCACCGAAACTACTAGTTTAAGGTGGGGAGGGGGGCTGTGTTGGGTAACCTTGTGCAGCTAGTGCAGTTGGTAAAATTTAGCCAATACTAACTAGAAGTACACAATACTACACATGAATCATACGTTTATTTAATACCGGTAACAGAATTTGCAAAGTACGTGGTGTACAAATAATTACATTTGTACTTAGTAGATACATGTATTATTACTGTTTTGTCCAATGCAGCTGTGGCTTGCACAAGATGCATATGTGGACTAGACAGCTGTGCAGGAAAGTTCTGAGTTGTCACCTGAAGTGGTTGACACAACTACACAGAGGTGTACAGCTATGTGCTGTTCGCACAGTAAGCACAACCCACAGTACTGGGGTTCTGGGCTCGCTACAAGTTACTCATGGGGACCATGTTCATATCAGGGATGTAGGACATGTGGAACAGGTTTGTTTGTTTGTTTGAGCCTTAAGTAATTAGTTACTCAGTACCTTTGCAGTGTTAGAAATACCCATCTGCAGTCTGCATTTTGCAGAGACATTTTTGATATTGCAGAACTAAAATTAAGCAACCTGCAATGTTGCAGACTGAAAAAATTAGGCTAGGGGTTCAATGGTGTTTAAGAGCTTTCATGTTTACTACTGACTGTCACTCTATAATATACAAGTAATTTTGCATGTATTTTTCAAATTGCAATTGTAAAATATTGCAAACATGCAATTTTTGTGTATACCGTGGGTTTAAATCTGGACTTTTAAGTGTGTATTTGCAGAAAGTATTTCTGAATTGCAGAACAAATTTTTTTCAAATTCTTCAACCCAACAGGTGCTTGGCAAGATGGCGGCTGGAGGTAGGGAGAAACTGCAGGTGATCAGTGACTTTGACCACACGCTGAGTCGCTCGACGCACAATGGCGTCCGGTGTCCGATGACCCATGACCTGGTGAAAGATTCCCGTTTCATCTCGGAGTCCAACCAGCGTAGAATCTGTGAGATCTGGAGCTACTATTACCCCAAGGTCAGAACTATGTTAAGGCCACACCAATTTAATTTGTTGGTTCTCGGATTTTTTCAGAAAAAATATGAAGCGACAGGGCGGAAAAAAATAAAAATAAAAATAGGTCTAGGCATCCCATTATAGGCTTAAATGCTACGGAATGAGCCATGAAGTCAACACAAAAGGCTGGGTTAAAATTTAAACATTGAATTTTGAACTTTTAATCAAATCACTGCAATGATAGATGGGAAAACTGTAACAACTAGGAAGAAAAAGACTTTCCTCAACTGTTGGGGGCCAAATATGAGCATTTTTCAGTTGATTCAGGACCAGAATCAAATTTTTTTTTTTTGCAAATCAGAAAAAAAAACGAAGAGGCGAATCCGAGAACCAACAAATTAAATTGGTGTGGCCTAACTATGAAATAAAATGATAGAGTAGTTAAATCTTTTTAAACTGGATTAGATTTTTAATAGGTAGACATTTCAGGTATCGCCCGACACCTTTCATCAGTACAAGTCTACCTATCAAAAATCTAATCCAGTTTGAAAAGATTTAACTACTCTATTATTTTGTTATCACCCTAGATGAGTAACCTTCACCAACATATGTTAACTATGATTTAGCATGAAAGTTGATCTGAGCTGGTAAAATACATGAAGAAAATTTAACTGTTTTCCAACTCAAAAACGAAATCAACTCAGCAGTCAAAAATTTCTGGTGAGTTAATTTCGTTTTTGAGTTGGAGAACAGTAATTTTCTTCATATATGATTTAGTGTTTGTAGATAACATATCTTTTAATTGTAGCTGCTATAGCATATTATTACCTGTTGTGTCATTTTATTATTGAAATAACCTGTTATTCATTTAGGTATTTATTTATTCATTCAAAGGAGATCTCCACCACCCTGCCTCTTCACGAGAAAATCCCGCTCATGGTCGAGTTCTGGAACAAAATCCACGACATCTTCCTGGAGTCGGACCTCAGCCGACAAGCGATCCGCACAATCGTGCGGGAAAGCGATACGCAGTTACGCGACTCCTGCAACACTTTCATGAGCCTTCTGCATAAAAACGACATTCCGCTACTCGTGTTTTCCGCCGGATTGGGGGACGTGATCCACGAGATGTTCGAAAAACACCACCTGGTGTTCCCCAACTGTCGCGTCGTGTCCAACTTCATGACCTTCGACCCCGCAGGAAAGGTCGTCGGCTTCCGCGACCCGCTGATCCACATCTGCAACAAGAACAGGAGCGTTCTCCCGGACGACACCTACTCCTCAAAGGAGGAAGAACGGACAAACGTCATCCTTCTAGGAGATTCTCTGAATGATCTTCAGATGGCGGACGGAGTCCCTGACCTGGACCAGATTCTGACTATTGGGTACCTGAGCAGACATATGGAGAGACTACAGGACTTTACTGAAGGTTTTGACATCGTTTTGATACAGGATGAAACATTGGATGTTGCAAATGCAATTCTGGGAAAGATTGTGGATTCAGATGGGTAGAAAACTACTAGTATATACTTGTTGTAGGATACAGGAGTTTTCTTTTACACAACCAAGATAGTTTACCTTGCTGACGTTTTGGTTCTATCAGACACCTTCCTCAGAGCTTCTGACTGGAGTTCTATAGCGGCGAGAAGTAGAACTCCAGTCAGAAGCTATCTTGATTGTGTAGAAGAAAACTCGTGGATTGCACATTCCACATCAAGAGCTAAAGCTAGCTATATTGACAAATGGGTGAGGCCAACTTTTGTGTTGGAAATGTTCAACCCTGCCTTCAGAATAATTAACAGTATGTAAGAACACAATGTATTGGATTTGTACATTGTGGATTTGAACACTTACTCACATGTATTATTGAACCATTAAGGTACATTTTATTGTACATTATAATTCAGCCATGGTGCTTATTTTATTAATTGCTGAAGAATTTTGTAACTGGTACAGGCAGGTGGAACATCATGTTAAGTTTGAAGCTTAAGTCTAATCATCATACTTCTCATTAAGACCTGAAGTTTAATCATGTACTTCTCATTAGGACCAAATTAATTAACTTACATGTATTACATAGACTTGTCTGTCTACTCGTCAACCTGTTGTACTGATGAAAAGAGTACTAGGGTCCTTGCTTTAGGGTGTCTTGTGGTTAGGATTGTTGACTCAGGAAAAAGCCTCTAGGTTCAAATCCCTGGCAGGCCCCACTGTTGTGTCCTTGCCTTTGGGAAAGGCACTTTACGCCTGTTTCCTCACTTGACTCAAGATGAAAATGAGTACCTAGGTTCGGTTAGGGACATCCTCTTGGATGGGACTAAAAACCGTAGGTCCTGTGTTTAAGGAGAGTCACACCTCTAGCACGTTAAAGATCCCACCACACTTATTGAAAAGAGTAGAGGTTCTTCTCAGTGTGAGTGGTTCAAACATTACAGTCTGGTCTCAGGGTTAACATCTAAACTAGAAAAGGTGATCTGTATCTGTAATTCTGTATCTGTATCTGTATAGTCTGAGTGTTACGTCAATGTTGAGCCAATACAAAAAGACAGAAACTTGTCACACATCTGACAATATTTAGAAGTTTTTAATGTCCACAAGACATGGATCAATAAGTAAAATGGCAAATATAATACATTGCATAAAAATTTACAGGGATGTTTTAAAGATTTTAGGAAACTACGTTTTCTTTATAGAAATACACGATAGTTGCTAATAAAGTGTTTTTTTTTTCTCCCAGGCCACAAATTGTTACTTCTAATTTTCACACACTTCATGACCAAACACTGGTCACCTTAAAACTGGGAAGACATTTTCCAAGTTTTCAATTGCAAAGATGTACAATTTTTATAATTTTGCTGTAAACAGCATCTCTGGTGTCTTTTTTGTCATAAAGTATAATTCAGGAAAGATTTTCTGAGTTTTGTGTCTTCGCAAGTTTCGGGCGACCAGTTTTGTTCACTACCATGTTGATCCACGTTGCCAATCGGCACATATTGCATGATATTTGATATGTTCTCTCTCCTTACAGACTACAAGGTCAAAAATCCCAAGGTCGTGTGCTAGACGGTTCGTCTTTTGTCATCTCACAACTCCCGACTACCTGCAATCTGCCGCACTTGCAAAACGTCTAGTTTTATCCCAAACAAAAATCATGTTGACTGTGTTTCGCACACGAAACTCAGCCATACTGTGTTTAACTCACCTTTCCAGAATTCATTACGTATAGTACACATGTGAGACAAGTTGGTCTCGTGACAGAAAAAAATACACACTACCTTACGTTGTGGTCCACCTACTGTTCTAGTTAATGATTGGTCCCTTAATGACGGGGGCAAACCGTCGATGAGAGGTGGGGGTTCACAGGATTTCATGTAGCGCCTATAAATCATTTCCACAGGAGCGAATCCATCCTACGGTAAACCTGCGGTGCGAAGTGAACCAACTAAAGCAGTTTACATGAACCAATAAGGTAGTATTTTAGACCTTTCAACTGGATGAGAATTTAACAGCCAAATGCTTCAAGTGTTCATCAGTAAAAACCTTGAATTTCACTGATGAAGAGTGTTGGAATAACACAAGTTGAAACGTTTGGCTAATAAATTCTTATTCAATTGAAAAGTCTAAAATGCTACCTTATTGATTTTAAGTTTTCTACCCTGGATGACTAATCTTTACAAACGTGTAAAGCAGATTACAGTTCTATCCAACACTGGCCACTTGAGATTTGGAAAATTTCAAGTATTTGAGGATGTACAGAATACCTTAAGTTTGCAAAGTTCGAAAGAACAAAGTCTTCCTCCACATTTTGCTGCGTTAATTTCTGTTTAACATTCATAATTGCGGAGACATGTAACTTTCAATCTTTCCAAATTCACAGTAACCAGTGATGCTTTAGACAGATGACACTGGGGCAAACAGTTGCCTTGGCAACAGTTGCCAAGGTTACGGTTGCCAAGGTTTCGGTTGCCTAGGTTACAGTTGCCTAGGTTACATGCAGTGTAAATACGATGTATAGTTTCCCACTAACACATGTTGATAGTTAGTAATGTCCTGATTGTGTTATTATGAATCTTCATGCAGAACTTCATAATATATAATAGCACTGTACATATTTCAACTACAGTGGCATGGGTAGATTGTACGTCGAACACACAATATAAAAATTTCTTAAGAAAAAACCTACGGGACACAAACAACAACACAGCATTTATCTTACAGACCTTAAAAATTATATAAGCATTACATTAAGAATGATGTTTACAAACACACAGTGTCTGTTATGTGAAAGTACGTCACCTCGAATTTGAGAAGTGATTTTTCTAATTTTCAGGGCATCCTGTTCTTTCAACTTCTTATATTTTACCAGATGTAAAATTTTTCTATTTCAGTTTGTTTCCCACTATATCAAATTAGAATTTTCTTTATTTCTGTGATAATGTATATATTTTTTTAATAGAAGTTTGGAAAATTTAATATCTCAAATTTCTAGTATCTTTACAAATTCGCAGTGACAAGTGCAAGCTGTAGTTATGGAAGTGTTGGTAGAGGGAGGTGATCACAAGTCGTTTTCACTACGATTATTGAGAATCACTGTTTTTAACAGACAGAAGACTAACATCCAGGAGTGACCACTGTGTTTCCAAAAGGATCAAGCAGACAAAATATCATGCTCTTACAGCACTAAATGAACCTTCCCCTGAACACCAACCATACAACCAAGATTGGCAGTAGGTTCGGAGCAGTTTGATCTGATTTACACCATGCCTGTCAATTTGGATTGAACCAAATTTGAGTTAAATTTGAGTCAAACATGTTGGTCTTTTCGTTGCTTAGTCCTCAATGTTTTGCTGCAGATAGAAACACAGAGGTCGCTCTAGATCTGACACTATGAGCACAAACTGGATAGGAGTTTGTGTGTAACCTACCGGTACATGTATATGTGTGTATGTATGTAGCACTCACAGATATGGAGCAGTATGTATGGGCTATTGTAAGTTGTGATCACCTCATATATGAATCTATAGATACAGACATCTACATCATGACACATGAGCACACTGTATGTAGGTCTGACTCATCTCTTATGTACAATATTGTCCACATCTCATCTCTCCATGTCTCCGGTATGTTCATCAAGGGAGTACAGAAAGGATAAAGCTACAATAGACACCAGTTATTTATAGGTACATACATGTTGTAGTCTAGAAAATAGTTTACTAATCCTAAAACAAGACCTAACCAGTTTGCTTATCACTCAAGTTTGATTTCAACTAGTTTTGCACTGAAATTCAATAGATTTTAACTCTGTCTACCTGCAAGTTTTGTGGGTAAAAGAGGAAAAAGTCCTGTGCCCTGCCACTGGCATCTCACAATGACCAAAACATTGGTCGAAAGACTTGTACACATCTCAGGGCCCTGCTAACCAATGTTCTTCTAAGGAAGCCAAGTTCTTCCGTAACTGAAATTATAGTGGTTTTCCCATATTGCACATTCTCCATGGGCCACAGGAACACAATTGCTCGTTTCTATGCTTCATCTCCAAATTCAATTTTCCAAGCGGCCCCAAAGTCACCTGATTGTCTGAAGTGTTAAGATCAATGTTTTCCTATACGATATCAGTAAGTACTAGTAATTATGAGTCTTGACTTCTGGTATTGCTGTATCTGACTTGTGGTAAAGATGCCTGGACGAACTAGTAGGGAGGGCCTAATGTTGATGTTTCATGAGGCTTGGAATGACTGATGATAATGATGATGCCTAGCTAACTGGTTTCCCTATCTATATATAATTATAACTACCCAACATACATGCAGTACCAAACAATACAACTACATGTACCAACCTGCAAATTTACCTTTCACACTGACGTACCCAGCATAACTACCATGTCTAGCTAACTGCCATACCTACAAGACTTCCATCAGTTGCTCTCTGCACTTAGGAGCCTTTAGATTTCAAATTTAGTTGAGAGGGGAAAGATACAACAAATTGATAACGAGAAGGAAAAGAAATCATGTAGAGGGAAAAAACTCAATGTAGAGACAAAAAAGTGCCTTGATAAACATTCCAGAGATTAACCTGTAGCCAGCTAAGGGTGCCCCCATGTACCAGGCAGATCCTGGTGCACTGGTGGGTTAGCAGGCCAAGGGTTAAAGTAGAGATGCTGCTAAAACGCCACAGTAATGAGAAACTCAACTTTGACCTGACACGCAGAGAAAATCAGGCTCACCAAATTTGGGGGGTGGTCACTTTAGCCTTCTTCAGGGAAAGTGACCTGTTACCAAAGTCACATGACCTCAGTGACTCCAGTGATTGGTCAAAGATAATTCAAATTTTCTTGTCTCTTGAGCCTTCTTCAGAAAAATGACCCACTATGTACCAAAGTCACATGTCCATAGTCATGTGACTCCAGAATAGGTGAAGCCTTCATGAGGAAAAATGACCCACTACGTACCAAAGTCACATGACCACAGTAGTGACTCCAGAACGGGTCAAAGGTGAGCTGCCATCTTTGCGTGTTCAGCTGAGTTTCTCATTCACACTGTTTGACTCACACATGGATACTAAAACCCTCTAAACTAGCGAGTCCCAATTAAAATCGTCCTCTATATCGTCGTTAGTGAACTGTGATGCCGCGGACTCGACCGGGATGGGGTGCTGGGGCCGCGGGTGCGCCCGCGGGCTGACGCTGTGGTGGGACCCGAGGCTCGAGGTGCTTCCGCTGGCGTTCATCACGCTCAGGTGGTTCCCAGACAGGTGCATGGAGCCTGCAATCGACGTTCGCGTACCCAGACTGCCACTGGGAACAGAAAAGACAATACAGGTCAACTTAAAAATCATTGTACAGACCGCTATGGCTTGTTGCTATTAATAAGGGTGGGATTCACACACTCACTCACTAGCTATCCGGGCTTTGCTGGTGTCCCTGCCACAGGGGTCGGCAGTAATCGGCTAGTAGTAATGGTCTAGGTGGGATTGAACAGTTCAAAGCAAAGGGCACAGCGGGTTTTCAATTGGGTGCTGTATCCTTGTGTGAACCATTGAAAACTGATCCTGGCTGATTATTTCATTCTGCATTTTTATAATTTTTCATCTGCAATTTTGAAAACCTATCTGCAGTTTGCAGAGAGAAGAGTGGTATTTCGAACAAACACGCGTACCTGTGGTGACTGGAGCCGTAACTGCTGGCATTACTGGCCTTACTGGCTCCTAGCGGGTCGTTTCCACCATCGTGAAGTCTGGTTGAGGCAGCCTAAATATTTACAAAGAAAAACAAAGATTAAAACATTGCAATACATAATACAGAATGAAGTTTTCCCTTCAATGACGTAAAATGGTGCAAGTTACTCAGCTGTTGCTGGCTTTTGACAGTAAAAAAATAGTGGAAGTTTAAAATACGGGTTCCAAATTACTGACCTGTGCGATGCCGGTTTGGTTGAAGAACCGACTGAGGGATGAACAGAGATCAGAGGAATTGTGACGGGTCCAGACACCAGTTATTCAGATCTGCCTGCTTCATACTCTCCATTAGACCTGTAAAACATGTTCATACATGTTAGTGTGAGGATATATCAGATGGTGTCAGATACTTACTGGTTGGTGCGTCCACCAGTTAGTCATTTTGTACAGCATGCATAGTCTGGACATTTTTTATATGTATTCAAATAACCACAGACACACAGCCAAACAGAGAAACACACTGATAACAAAACCTCATATTTCTCACTCTAGTAGGCTATTTGAGCGTAGGGGCCTCCTATGCTGTGATTTTGACCCCCTACACTGTGATTTAGACCCAAATAGTGTCTCAGGGGTTAATATGATTAGAAAAATTTTGCTGTGGTCACATGTTGGGCCTTAAGGTGTGGCTTGCGCTTAAAAAAGTTTTCATTCTGCACCTGACCCCTATGCTGTAAAAAATTCTGGTCAGAACCCTGATACTTTCTATTTACCTTGAAACTGTGACATGTCAATGTCTCCCCAGTTGTAGCTCCCGGCCAGACGACAGCTCTCCTTCAGCAGGTCCAGACTTGTCAACCAGTCTCCGGCTGTAACCATGGAAACACACTCATCACCATGGAAACACACTCATCACCATGGAAACACACTCATTACCATGGAAACCAGTAAAATCAATACACGTTAAAGTTTTTTCAGAACAATTGTATTAGGCACATGTACAATGTAAGGCAACTGAGTAATTAATATAAGACTGTCTAGTGGCTAATTTGATATTACAGTACTATATTCTACATGTAGATTCAATATAGAAGACACAGTATGTCTACTATACATGTACATCTAAATTATGTTGATATCTTATATAAGTGAATCTCTAGCTTTTACATATTTTTATGATGTAATTTACAAAGAAGTTACCTTATATTGAAGAAGAGGACCTTTGAATATTCTCTTATTTCTCTGATTCTATAATTATACATTGTACTTGTACAACTGTGTGTTTAGTGTAAGCGCCTACTGGTATTCCCATGTCTGATTCCTCACCTATATTAGAAGCTGTTAGTGATGCTGCCAGAGCCTGTGGTGTTGGTGCTGGTTTACTGAACACAGCTGAGTTGCCGGGCGTCGACCGGTTGCTCGTGGCAACTGTTCCTAGGGTGGTCATGCCACTGGATGATGCTGGAAGTCACACGATTAGAACAATTTTGAGTCGTCATTCAGAAAAAAAAATTCTGTAGGCCTAAAATTCTTTTACAGATGAGTTGAATCACAGAAAAATTTTACAACTTTGATTATCAACAGTACTGTACCGTGTTATAGCAATAAAAAACTAATGGCAATACTTCCTAGACTGTGGCTTTATAATGACAAGCAAAAACATTAAACAACATGTAACATCTCTGATGTCTGTGTTATTGTTAAAGTTGTTCATGTTTGTTCTATTTTCTTCTTAGTACTTACAAGACTATGATGTCCACTTTTAATATGTACCAGATGATGTAGGTTTTATAGTGTCTCTCCAACTTTTATAATGCATATTGTGAGTATGCATAGCATATTGTAAGCATCTTTTATGTAGACTTACGTTTATCAGCCTTTGCTGCCTGTAAGTCTGTGTAATGTGTTGTTTGCATTGAAATAGATAAAAATATTGTAAGTACATCATCATCATTAGATGATGTAAGTACATGTAGGTCACAATTTGGGCTAACATCCATGTCCATAATATCACCAGGGTCCATAATATCGCCACCTTGAGAAATAGTGTGCTTTGAGATATTTTTACTGTAACATACTTTTGGTATGCACTCCTGCACACCTCAAATGTACATACCTAGGGTCTGTTGCAGTAAAAATATCTTCAAGCACATTTTTTCTCAAGGTGGCGATATTATGGACCCTGGTGATATTATGGACACAGATGTTAACCAGGCCCACGAGTCCCTTTCCCCATAAAACTTGAAACCTGAGCAGTACACAATGTCCTCACATGTAGAGAGCTGTCCTGTACTACAGTACTCACATGTAGAGAGCTGTCCTGTACTACAGTACTCACATGTAGAGAGCTGTCCTGTACTACAGTACTCACATGTGGAGAGCTGTCCTGTACTACAGTACTCACATGTAGAGAGCTGTCCTGTACTATAGTACTCACATGTAGAGAGCTCACACAGTTCTGTACTATATTACTCACATGTAGAGAGCTGTCCTGATGACGACTGTTCGAACACCTGTTTGTAGAGGCTGCGGAAAGAAGCACTGAGGTCCTCGAATGCAGGATTGTTGTCCACCCAGCCAGCCTTGGGCTCTATAATCTGTAACAAGATACAAGTTAGAACACTTAATCTAAAGCTTTTAGTCACAAATTTCAGTTGAAAGTAAGTACAGTTTTTGTTCATTATCTTTGTCAGATCTTCTTGAACCCATCTTGTCTCCGTTTCGTTTTCTTAATAATAATAATAAATGGTTTTTATTGGTCAAACAGTACCCGTGCAGTAACAGCCTTTATACAGTTGAATTGGTGCAGGGTACCAATCACATAATACACATGATACACATATTTGCTCCACAAATTTTTGTGGAACTGTCGCAAGGGTCTGTGCGGCTGCCATTCGGTGCCACCAGGTGACCTCAATACAACTTTCCCCAACCGAAGTTAGGTACCCATTCACACCTGGGTGGAGTGAGGAAAGTCGTGTATATCTTGGTATGTTTACCTGAGGAATGGCAGCCTGTCCGTAGTTGAGAGCTGCCAGAGTGGGACCAGACATGCCCAGACTGCCACTACTGTTGGAGCTGTGCAGGCTCTCCTCGGGACTGTAGGGCTGTCAAACAAACAAACAAACAAATAAACAAACACATCAGAATAGGAAAACAACATCATATCAGAATGATAGAGGACTATATATGAAGCCAGGCCAAGAGCTGCAATGATATAAGGTTAGATCTGGCACTCAGAACTTATCATTTGTATGCATTGTGTCATAAATATCTTTACTTAATCTTAGGCCTGTTGCTGGGATTGTTCTTGTGTGCATAATGTACTAGTGTGTGTGTATGAACATGTATGTGTGTAAGTGCATACATACATGAGGGTGTGTGGTGTGTGTACATGAGTGACAAATGCATTTGTGTGTGTGTGTGTGTGTGTGTGTGTGTGTGTGTGTGTGTGTGTGTGTTGTGCACATGCCCGTCTGAGTGAGTGAGTGAGTGAGTGAGTGAGTGAGTGAGTGAGTGAGTGTGAGTGAGCGAGTAACTGCACATTTTACTCACCCTGACACTGTGTCTGTGTGTGTGTATGTATATGTGTGTATGCATGCCTGTGTGTGTGAGTGTGTGTTTGTGAGCGAGTGAGTGAGTGGATATTTTACTCACCCTGTCACTGGACCTCCTCTTGCGAGGTTTTTTGTCTGGCAGGGATGTGTGTATGTGTGTCTGTGTGTGTGTATGTATATGTGTGTATGCATGCCCGTGTGTGTGAGTGTGTGTTTGCGAGTGAGTAAGTGAGTGGATGTTTTACTCACCCTGTCACTGGACCTCCTCTTGCGAGGTTTTTGTCTGGCAGGGATGGGGTCCTCCTGTGGATTGTTGTCTATTGCCCAATAAGAACCCTGAAAACAGGAGAAAACATTTCCATCATCATCCTGTATGGGTGAGTAACAATACTAAAGGAGAACGAGATTGTTCAAGCTGTCTTACTGTGGGGTGATATTGTGGTTTCATTTGCTTGTGGTGAAAAAGATTAGCTCAGGATAAGTCTGAATCCATTTATTCACATTATACATTGCTTTAAACCCAAATTGTATGTGTTCATATAAAAGACATCCAATGCAATTTCAGGGTGGCAAAACAAAAAAAAAACTACTCTGGATGAGGATATTTGTCTGATAATGATATTTACTGCCATTTCTTTGCACATTTTTGTCATTATTTCATACTTTTTCGTCATTCATTTAATACAGCTCACTGCATTACAATACAACCAGCCACGTGAAGTGTTTGACAATATTAGCCCCAAATCAAGCTATGCAAGGTATCTCTTTGTTTTTGGGTACCAACCATAAATAGTTCGAACTAGCCATGGTGCCTAAACACACTCACACGGGATAGGTGAGGTGAGGTAAGGCCAAATTCCCAGAAATTTTGAGTTTATTACAGGTCATCATGCGTACAAGACAACCAGCCACGTGATGCCTACGGCTACAAAACGTTGGCATGCTTTGCTGAAAGGCATTTTTCTTGGAAACCAATTTAGAATCAAGATACAATCATGAGATGTTTCTTTCTTGTTGGGTACCACCCATATACATGTATGCATAAGCTAGAGGTAGAACTAACCTAGGATAGAAAACGAGCAACCGTTTTATTTCAGTAACACAACATTTTTTCCCCACTGACACTTGTATTAGACTAAGTATATAGTATGCAATAGGTTAGATTCAACTTACTAATGTTACATTATAACTTAAAAGAATGACCAGAAAATCGACTTTGAAATAAAGTTTTGCTGCCCTGAAATGACTTTAAAACACATTGGTAACAAAAAAACATGGCAGATGCCAGGCCTCATTAGATAGTGTGAGATAGCAATTAAAGTGCCAAGTAGTTGAACAAGTCACAGTGCCCCCATGACCCTCAACGGAAGTGAGATAGGCGAGGTGAGGTGAGGAAAGGTGAGGTGAGTACTACCAAATTTCTAGGGATTTTGAGTTTAATACAGGTCATTATAAACCATACAACCGGTCACGTGTTGGCTACAATGCTGGCATTGTTTGCTGAACGGCATTTTTCATGGAACCAATTTAGATTCAAGATATGAATCATGAAACAATCTACAATCATGAGACATTTTTTTCTTGTTGGGTAACGCCTATATGTGCATGTACATGTACATGTACATGTATGCATATATGGCTAAGTAAGCACGTCGGCAGAACGTACTGCACCTGCGCGAAACCCGTAATGTATAAGTAGTACATAGCATTTCGGCAGAATGTCTCATATAAGGTTGTATTCGCTCATGTAAGGTTAGCATTTCGACAGTAGTTTCCGAATGTTATGTCGAAAAGAATATCCTCTGCAACAGGCAAAATTCTGATGCAACGTTGACCAAAAACCCAACGAAAAACGCGAAAATACGGGGTTCTGCGCAGGCGCAGTACGTTCTGCCGACGTGCTGGCTAGGTACATTTTGTAGAACTAGCCTAGGATATAAAACATGCAACCGTTTTATTTCAGTAACATAATATTTTGCCCCACAGACACATGAGACTAAGTATATAGTATGTAATTATAATGATTGATTCAATTTACTACTGTTACATTAAAACTTAAAAGAATGACCAAAAAATTGACTTTGAAAGTCCAGTTTTGCTGCCCTGAAATGCCTTTAAAATAGCCTGGTATCCAGCCTTGTTAGCTTTAGTCCGCTACCCAAGATCCGCTCCCCGCCAACCCGTAAAAGACTGGATACCAGGCTACCTTTAAAACACATTGGTAACAAAAAAACATGGCCGATGCCAGTCCTCACTAAATAGCGTGAAATAGCAGCTATCGTGCCAAATAGTAGTAGATTGAGTCATAGTGCCCCAGTGACCTTCAACGAGGGATAGGTGAGGTAACGTACGGCCAAATATGAGGGGATTTTGTGTTTAATACAGCTCACTGCATTACAATACAACCAGCCATGTGCCTATGGCTAGAATGCTGGCACAGTATGCTCAAAGGCATTTTTTCCTGGAAACCAATTTAGATTCATACTGTGTACTGGTATGTGCATAATGCATATTTATACATAGAGACTTCGTGTATTAATTATTAATGAGGATGATATGGATCTATGATTTGACACAATGTGCCTCCTACTCGTAATATCTCAGTCTGTGGTGTTAGAAGTCGATTTCCACAAAAAGTCTATAAACCTGGTTACAAGGTCTGTAGCGCACATGGGTGACCTTCGTCTGTTACACCCAAGGTCACACACGTGTGTGATACGGACCCGAGGTTATATGGGGTCGTACTTACATGTGGCTGAGCAAGAATTTATATAGGTCTGTTTTTTTTCACCAGGGCTCAAAATTAACGGTGTCTCGATGGCCAGTGACCACTAAAATTTGGGCTGGGACAACTAAAGTAAAAAGACACTTTGGGACATTTTTGGGACAATAGAAAAATGATCAACATCAGATTGTCAACCCTTTTATTGTTTATGAGGCACACGTCCCGGCTTTTGGATCTGGGAAAGTCCCCCCGAATTTCCTGTCTACTCTGCAATTATTTAGTGCACTTGGGAGTGAACATTACCAATGAAAATAACGTTGAATTCAAGTTGAAGTCATACAATACTGCCCCAAAAAACAGGTTGGCATGGGACAGTTCATCCTCACTTCGGGACAATTGAAAATTATTTTTGGACAGTGCTGGGACAATAGGAAGAAAAGTTAATTTTGAGGCCTGAGCAGTAATGCCATTTGAAAAGAAACTAAAAATACCACATTACAACCAATATTCAAAGTCAAATACTATCTAAAAATGAATCATGAAGAAATTTATTATAACAATAGACACTTACATGTACTTGACTTGCAAGCTCATCCAGGTCTAGGTTATTTTTTTTACAAATACTGAAAGAACTTGAACACTGAAAAAAACACAGTCGGACTGCGTCTTGGGAGGGCTACTTACTTTTCCTGGGTCGTCCTTCGACCTTGGTACCTTGAGGAAGCATTTATTTAGGGACAGGTTGTGTCTTATGGAGTTCTGCAAGAAAACAGGAGACAAACATTCATGAAAAGTTAGAACCAACCTACAGTACGAAACAAGCAATGGATTCCCATCTAGGGCATCACATTTTTGCAGATATGAGTTGATCTCCAAGCAGATCCTAGGGTCTCAAAAATAGAGTATCAAACTGGCCAGGCAGTGTCCAATTGGCCAGAGAGGGGGGTAGCAACAAAAAAAAGGGCTATATATAAAAAGCTAATGATCATTCCCCCACAACCTCTGCTTGGAGAGTAGATATCAGTATGCTATGGGATACGATTGATTCAACTTACTACATTAAAAGAATGGCCAAAAAATTGACTTTGAAAATCATGTTGCCCTGAAATTGCATTAAATTTGATGCCTTCAAACAAGTGGTTGTGAAAGAACTTTGTTTTATTCAAAAGAAAAACAATCCATCAGCAACAGTTAACTGCCCACTGTGCTGGTTATCCTTGTAATCCAGCCTTGTCCAAACAAAGACTGTTTGATTTGGACAGATAAGGACACCAATAAGTAACATGATACTTAAGTTTCAATCCTGATTTAATCTGATACAATCAATCATCTTAGGTTACAAAAACCAGAACGGAAACCTTCTTTGTACAGAGGATAAAGCATTTGCTTTGAAGAGAAACATCAAATAACAGTTACTGAGTGTATACCATTATATGCAAATGAGTACGGTTGTACAGTATCTACTATTGTGATCTGCAAGATAAGCATTATTGACTGTAAATAGTATGAAAAGAAAGAAACAACTGAGGTCTGTTAGTGACAGTATTTTCTTTTTCTTTTGCAGATTAGGAATTGCTGCAGGAACTGACTCTGAGGGTAAGATTTGCAAAAAAATGTCAGCTCATTCATAATGGAAATTATACAATAAAGAAGCTATAATTTGCACCCATGTCACATGTACCTTCAGGGCATGAAATCACGTGTAATTTACACACAAAAGATTAGAATTTCCGATAAAAAAAAAAGAAGAAACCTGCAATTTTGAAGATAACAGAGGAAAGTAGTTTGGCCACTTATAACCACTGGATTATAGTACAAATATATACAAATAATTTTTGAACATCCATTAAAAAACCATGAATTTGACCTTCATCTATCAGTATCAATATGAAATATACAAAACTGATAAATTTACTATCATAATCATGACAGTATGATCAAAAAGGTGTGCAAATTATGGAATGCAAGAAAAAATAGGAAAAATTAAAAAAAAATTGTACCACAATATTTAATCCATGCCTGTTCATTATGTGCATCATGAATATCACATTCATCCATATCATAATGAATAGGAGACGCTTCCATCATTTATTCTAATGAGCTCTTCAGTCATGTAAATGATCCCCGTAATTAAAACAAAATTTTCCACGATGTAATCACTTCAACCCACTCAAACAAATGAGTCTGAGTTCCTTTTTTTCCAACCCTGTACGAGGGTCTGGATGGGGGGATCCCAGAAAAATTTAGGAGGGCCTGAATAATGCTAAATGGTAAATTCAGGCAGGCCAGAAATGCTTAGTGGTACTAGTAAATGGTAATGGCTTTTGGAAGTGATTTCTTTAGAATGCTCTTTTTTCTATTTATTGGCGAAACTAGTATATGGACCGTGGATGCTCTATTATGATTTTTGGGCAATCTGGTGTTAAGAATACAGAGAATTTTTGGCGAAGCACTTTAGTTCCACGTACTAGTATGTTATTTCTTATCCTAAAATTCAAGTAGCTATGAATAATGGAGCATTACAATGGCTCGCTACACCTCACAAAAAAAGGCAGTCGACCCTCCTAAAGACGTAAAACACAAAGTCAGAAATATGATTTGGATGTGGAACAAATAAGCAACAAAAATTAATCTAATCAGATCTCTGCTATTAGACATGAGACAGTGAGCTCCATGTCACTTGGTATTCTGGGAGTCACTGCAATATCAGCGTTATAACAAACAAACAAATAACAATTAACAATTGCATTAAAATTGCATACGCCTACACGGCTTGCCAACGTTGGAATATTATAAAAAAGTATGAATGATTTCTAATTGCCTTTTTCACCTGTGCTTGAGCACTGACTGCTGAATAATGATCTAAATTATGTAAAGTTTATGATCTTTTTGTTATTACAAAGGCATTTTTTTGCTGACAAGAGTTATGCCTCTTCCATATGTTGCACTAAAATCCACCTGTTCCAAGTGTTGTCTTACACTGGCACTACCACCTGGTAGTTGACACTCATTTTCTCTGGCTTTCTATGTGTATATACAGAACAACAAGATATAGACTCGCCATTATGATATATACCTGAAATCAATAAAAAAACACACAATGGAATATTTTCAAATGTGGGATCTTCTTCTTAGAGTTAGATACCCTCTGACCACCCCTAAATGGGGTAATACTGAGGGAGGGGGGGGGCGTTGCGTGGCTATGGCAGGAAGGCTGCCAATCCGGCCTTAAATGAGGGCCTGCATGGGGGGGTAGTGACTACGAATTACGCAGAATTTCGCCGCGATAACGAATTACGTAAAATTCTCAGAGCTGAGTACGATTTAACGCTTTGCGGCTAATGTAGTATTAAGAATTACGTTGATTTTTGGGGAGGCTGGCTACAGATTACAAAGACTAAAAAGGCCTGATTACGCCTTACGAAAAAGGGCATGCAGGCCCCCTTTACATAAAAGCCTTAAGTTGTGGCCTGCACAACTTGGCCTGACAGTTGGTTTCAATCACGTATTTTTCGTGGAAAAAAAAAAAAGATCGGATCTCATTTGAATAATAATGTCAGGTGGATTTTTTTGCAACCACAACATAACTGAGTTATGTTGTGGTTGCAAAAAATAAACTGCATAATTAGGGGGAGGGGCAGCAAGACAAGGTAATTACCAAATAAATTACTTATAATTGCTTGAAAACACTTGAGAAATTCAGCCTCCCTGTTTGAGCTGTGGTGAATTTTTAAGAATAAAATCCGGGTAGTATCTCTGTAATTGTTTGTCTGTCTCAGGATGTTTTAGTTTTTACCCGACAACAAGCCACAAGTGGTTTTTGCAGATTAATTAATTATTGAAGGCGTGTCAGAACTTTTGGACCTGACCATTGCGCGTATGCGCGCGGGGGGAGGGACAGACTATCACTAGGGAAAGAAAGAAAAAAACACATCGGGTAAAAAATACGTACTTTCCATCCGTTCCCAGCGTCTCTGTAGTAAGGAAAGTTGTCGCAGATCCACTGGTAGATTTCGGACAGCGTCATTTTCTTCTTGGGAGAGGAGTTGATGGCGAAGGTTATGAGGTTGGCGTAGCTGTACGGCGGCTTGCCGTCCCGCCCGCCCGCCGTTCCGTCGCTCCCATCCGCCGCTCCGTCCCCGTCTAGCGCGTTCTGGGATTTCCGGATGGCCTGGACGCCTAACCCGCCGACGGCGCTGGTCTTCATCGCGCCGCCGACGTTCAGGCGCGGTAGCCAGTCCATAGACGTTAGGCTGGACTCCAACTCAGATCCGGACGCCATCTTGGATTCTCCAGGCTGGGACCGGGGAAATTTTCACGGCTGGAGGGGTGTCCGAACTCACTGGAACGTTTCCAACCTCCCTTTTCGCCGCTTTAACAACGCGAATTTGGTCCTTAAATTACATATATTCAATCAAAATCAAGTTTAAATCCTACCTATCACATTTAAGGTTGTCTATTATGACTGACGGTGGCGCTAATTTTCTCAACAAAAGACATTCTTGTGTTGCGCAGTAACCGATACCCCTGACACCCCCGCAGCGGTAGTTGGGCTCGCCCTGCTTGGCATCATGGCCCCCCGCAGCGCTACCTAGCAACTCGCCACTGGTGACGTCAAAGGCGCGCGAAGTCCGGCCGCTGCCCGTTCAAACCCGCTATAATTTACGGCGAACAAAAACGGTAATAATACGCATTACTCTGGCTCAATGACGAATGGTTTTACGCCTCTGATGTCGTTATTGAAGCCTGGTCATTTGAACAGAGAAATGTGCTCTCTCCTATAGTATAACTGCGTACATGGCAAGAGTCATTTACTGGCTTTAGGAAATCAAGTATAAGTTGAATTATCCTCAAAGTATAGAAGCAATATCTTTGACCATCTTTATTGAGGCAAGGTTGGCTATATGTGGGAGAAGGTGGAAATGATATATAGGCCACTTCCCGAAAGCGGTTTCGCTTTCGATTCACATCACATACATGTGTCTTTGCCCTCTTCACAATGTTGTAAATGTAGACTCAATGGTCATAAAGAAAAAGAAAATTTTTTTTGAAAAATATGCTGCTGTTTGCAATCTATCTATCTACAATAAATTTATGAAAGGCGTGTGGTCATATCAAATATATCTTATAACGCTAAAATCTGATTTTCAAATTGTAACAGTTGAGAGCTGCAATCTTGTGAAGAATCGCTAGATGTCGCCCGCGCACGGTGACATCGTGAAACTCCGCAGATAGCGACCAACCGCAGCTGCTCCGCGGAGTTCATTTCGCTTCACGTTCAAAATGGCGGCTGTACTGAATTCTGTGAAGTCATTCGGCGGTCCGAGCATGTCTACTGCAGCTGTGAACGGCGGCCCAGATTCATGGACGCTCCAGTTACAACAGGGGTGAGTTCTAGCGGATTTCTAGCATGACAGAGTTGGAATGTAAAAATACAACCGCCGTGCAGCGTAGCGTTTTTGTTCCTTGCACGTTCATGATTTAGGGGGAGGGGGGCGGAAATTAGACACAGGTTTGGATAATTTTTGGAGGTTCAAATGTTTTATTATGGTTTGCCACTGAGGAAAGAAGATATTTTCAATGTTAAAAAGATCTAATGTTTTTGGTAGAGCATGTCAAGGAATCAATGAATTGTATACTGAATGTTTTAATAGTGCTCCAAAATGTATAGTCATCAGTCTTTTGTGTTGAACCATGTGCCAAAGTTATGGTTCATGTTTCTTTACATCATCGAGAGTACACACCAATTCGACGTGTTCTCCTAGAGATGCCAGCATCACGCAAGCACAAGGCACCAAGAGTTAAATACCTAGAGAGGCAATTTGACTCTGAACTGAACAATGCGCAAACCAGCACCAAGACAAGAGACCATGTCTAGTGAGATATTAGAAGAACAACAGCATAATTTCTTTTATGTATCATTTCAGACGTCCATCATGGCTGTGGAGTTTGCAGGTGGAGTGGTGATCGGGGCCGACTCACGAACAACCTCTGGGTAAACTGGTTTTGATTATTTTTTTTTTTTTTATGAAAGAGAGTTTGCAAGAAAATAAAGAGAATAAAGTAAAACTAAGCATGTAAACTTGTAAGCATGTAAAATCTTGTTACATAGCTTTATATCAATATTTTTGCATACAGCCATCAATAACCATCAGTGATACCTGTTTCATTGCAGATCGTACATCGCTAACCGAGTAACAGACAAACTCACGCCGGTTCATGACCGGATCTTCTGTTGCCGGTCAGGTTCTGCCGCAGACACACAGGCCATCGCTGACATCGTGTCTTATCACACCGGCTTTCACAGGTCAGGTCTCTTTTCAAAAATTAAAACCTGTGCTGAGTTTTCTTTACTTCAAGGAGGCTCAAAGCAACTTCTGCATACCTGTACTAGAGAAATTATACTACCTATCTTGTGAAACAAGCACTGCAGCTGAGAAAAATCCACAGGAAATGTCAAATTGTAGTTTTCAGATTTTTGCTACCTATACCTTGTCCCTTAACCCCCTTGTTCTATTGTGACAATGTAACATGTAATGATCATGACAATGTAATAAGAAGAAAGCACATAGCCCTGATAAAGGTAGCAGAGCAGTAGTAGAGAAAAAATAAGTTATTTACCTAAAGAAAACTATGTTGACTAGAAAATCAGCACTCAACCAGTAATAATGAAAGAAAATAAAATGTTGTTGTTCTTTTCCCAATGACAGTATTGAGATTGGTGAGCCTCCCCTGGTCCGGACGGCAGCAAACCTGTTTAAGGATCTCTGCTACAGGCACAGGGAGGACCTGACAGCTGGCATCATCGTGGCAGGATGGGACAAGCGGAAGGGCGGACAGGTAAGGGCAACTCTGGTGTGAGACAGGTAATAAGTAGTAACAGGAACTGTGGTGGGATACCAAAATGGGTGGCAGTTAGCATAGAAACTGTGGTGGGATACCAGAAATGAGGGAGATCAGATCTAGTTGGGACAGGTAATAAGTAATGAGAGGAACTGTGATGGGATACGGTACTAAAACTTTTGGCAGTCATATATATTAGCAGACAAACTGTGGTGGGATACCAGAAATAGGGGAGATCTAAGGAAAACTTAGTTGGGATGAAGTCAGTTTTTTCTATTTATTTCTAAGAACTGGTAAGAATCCAAAGGCATAGGTCATATAATGTGACACAACAGCAAGTAGTAATGATATAGCTCATTTTGACAAAGTGTTAACTTTGGTTGTTTTGACAAAGAATCCTTTTTTCTCTCTCCCTTACAGGTTTACTCTGTGCCACTAGGAGGGATGCTGGTTAGGCAGCCGGTAGCTATAGGAGGTGAGCAGATACAGAATAGCCTGAACATGCCTTTATAGTGATGCTGGCACACTATTGTTCCAGCTGTACAAAAGACAGCCAGGTTTGCCCAACTAGTTACAAGACTGTGTTGAAGGACATTATCCACACGCACAACAGTACTGAACAGGGTGTCATGTGAGTGACTACAACTAGCCTGCAGACGTAGATTGACATGATCCTATGAATACACATCCATGTATTAATGAATACACCATTGAAGGAAGCCAGAGCATGTTGATTGTGAGCTTGAAAGCACTTTCAGCAGTGCTTGACTTGTACCAACTGTGTTCCAGGCTCTGGCAGTACGTATGTGTACGGTTATGTGGACTCACACTTCAAGGAAGGGATGACTAAAGAGGAGTGTTTCCAGTTCTGTGCTAACAGTAAGTACAAGTACCTTACTTTACGTACGTGTACCTCTGTAACTGTAAGTATCACAATGTGTATTGAATTAGGGAGAACAATCATTGCTGACAAAACTAGAGTCAATCCTGTGCTAGTGACCACCTCTGCATTAAGACCGCATTATTAAAATAAGAAAAAAAAACTAGAAAAGTAACATTTGCAAAGCAAATGTATAATTTTTACCTCTGTATATGGTCTGCTCTGTTAACTCTTACTCAAACACATTCATATACTAGTGTATGATGACAGGAGTCTAAATCCCTCCTGCTATAAAATTGCAACATGATGTAACCCAACATCAATTACCATGGTGACAGACATCTGGTCCTGGTCATTGACCTTATTTGTTTGGAATGGAAGAAGAAGAAGAGAACTCAGCAAAAACAAATAACATTTGGAAACTACAGACCAGGGGATGTTAGTCGTAAATACTGTATACCAATACAACCTTACATGAGACATTCTGTGTTTGTTTTCCTTTGGTAAACATAAAAATGTTGTTTTCCTGCGCAGCCCTGGCCTTGGCAATGTTCCGTGACGGCTCGAGTGGCGGAGTGATCCGATTGGCCGCCATCATGGAAGACGGGATAGAACGCAAGGTCATCACGGGAGACGACATCCCCAAGTTCTGGGAGGGGTGATCTTCTTCCTGAGTCAAACTCCATAAGATTAGCATGTCGGCAGAGCGTATTGCACCTGGACGAAACCTGAAATGTATTGTGCATAGCACTTTGGCAGAATGTCTCATATAAGGTCGTATTGGTGTCCAGCGTATGAGGTTAACATCCTGTCTGTAGTTTCCGAATGTTATGTTGAAAGAGATATCGTCTGCAACAGGCAAAATTCTAATGCAACGGTGACCAAACATCCAACAAAAACCATTAAAAATCAGGCTAGCTTTTGTGCAGGCACAGTACGTTCTCCTGACATGTTCATAAGACTAGATATTTGTAGTAGGCAGGAATTATGAAAGACATGTACCTTAGCAAGAAATTCCTTCAGAAAGTTTAATAGTAACAGTCAATGGTACAGAGATGATAAGAGAAATGTATGTTGAATACCGGTAATACATTAACAAGAGTCTTGGTTTTCTCACCTCTTTAATGACTTCTGTATAGTGTAATTTCACATGCTATATCCCTCTCAACCTGTATGTTCAATATGTTTCATAGACCATACACTAGACTTGGTTTCTATACAGTAGGAGAAAAGTTTCCACTTTCTGTGACCATTAATAAAGCAGCAAAAGAAAATTGCTGGTGGTGAAAGATCTGTGTGTTGTGTTTTTTTCTCGGGGTTTGTTTGTTTGAGCATTTGTTTGATTTAAGTGAAACTTGTGTTGGTTCAAACAGGTGTAAAGATCTGTGAACTTCGAAGTATAGACTGCTGAAAATACCCTAGGTCCAGTGCTGATTGTGAACTGAAGACTATTGATTCTAAATGTGTATTATACCACTGGCCCCAAATGCTGAATGGCCAAGTGGCTAGGTAGCGGACATGAGATTGAGAGGTTGTGGGTTTGATCCCTGGCATTCCTGGATAGACATTGTGTCCTTGGGAAAGGTACTTTACGGAATTTTCCTCACTCCATCCAGGTATAAAATGGGTACCTGAATTCATTTGTAGAACTTGTCTGAAGTAAAAGGTTGTGAACTTCCAGAAAAAGGAGAGGGATGGGCTCCACCTTCCAACACCATACACTGTGCCTGACACAAACCCACTGCTTCTACTGGTTCTATAATGCTTTATGCACATGTGATCAAATAAGTACAACAAATGCTAAATACTATAGATACTACATGTACGTATGTAAATCTGAACATTTTCAGTATTGCTAGTTTTATTGTAGAAGCCCACAAGAAGTACACAACATCTAGCAAGTGGACTAGTACAAAATTTGACCCCTATATAATCAGCATAATGCGATTGATGTTGGATTTTCACTCATTATGTATACAATAATGTATACTTTAGAAATTTTCTTAAGTATACATTATTGTATACATTATGTTAATGCATAGATTGTTTGCCTCTTTTTATTGGCCTTTTTTTTTAAATTTCCATTTCAGAAGTTTTAACTTTCAGTGATAAAAATCGATTCCTGGGAACGAGATTCCATAATTTCCCTACGTCACCCTTGACCCCTGGGAACGAGATCAATCAAAGATGGCGGCGCTGTCTGGAGAGACAGTCGGTTCTTTGAGTTAGTTTGTCGTAAGTTTGTCCTGTTTCATTTCAGCTTTTATTTGTTAAACTTGACGGTGACAGGACCTGGACATTATTTCTGTTCTCTTCTTCTCATTTTCGTCTTGCTTTTGACCTTAACTTTCGCGGCTAAAACGCCGTCTCTGTATTTTCACTGGAGTCACACACTTGTCAAAAGGTACGTGAGTAATTTACCAGATATGGTCCCGTTCTTCATCATTCGTGATTATACTGTTGTCTCAAGGTCTGTCCTTTCTTTCTAAAATCACCGAGATACGTTTGAAAATGGGCAGGACAACATGACAAACCTGTAAGTGGGCATGGCTCTGTTTAACAGCTTGCTGAGGCCTTACGCCGTGACGGTTGTTCATGTAAAATTTATATTATAAACATCTAAGTTAATATCTCGCTAGACGTGGTCTCTTTGTGCTGGTTTGCTCATGGTTCAGTTCAGAGTCAACTTGTCTCTCTAGATGTTTAAGTCTTAATGCCTTTCTGATTGACGCTGGGCGGACCTGTTTGTTTGTTTGTTTGTTTGTACTACTTAGCTCCCCATGGAAGAGGACAGTGGAGAGTTCCCAGGACTGTACAACAGGGAGAACGACTTTACAGAGGAGGACATGGAGCCTGATCATGGTGAGGATATTTCATTTCCTGAAATAAATGACGAACTGAAAATATTATAATAACTTAACATGCATAAAACCATGTATTTGTTTGCCTAACCAACACCTCTAGACATATGTTGTTGTTGTTGCCCTTGCATATATCTATAATATTCTTGATCTTGATCTTGAAAAATTACTGTGTAACACCCCTCTGTTGGGATAAGACTTGGGTTCCTTCAACCTGTTAGGCTATGAGATTTCCGGTATGGCTTGAATTTGAAACATTAGACTTGTTAGACGATGTCTCAAGGTGCAGGGTTTTACTTGGTTATGTCAATCTTCTAAGGTTTTTAACACTAGTGATTTGAGCATAACAATGGCACCCCTCTGATTGACCTCTAACCTCTCTGATTGACCTCTGACCCCTGATTGACCCTGCCTCCTCTGATTGACCCCTGACCCCTCTGCTTGGCCTGTGACCTCTCTGTTTGACCTGTGACTTCTCTGATTTCTAGATGAGGAGGAGGAGAAGGAGAGTCTGAAGAAGAAGGAGAAACACAAG